TTTGTAGGGTAGTAAAATCAGTTTTTCTTTTGCTTTTTTTTTTAAAAGTTTTTAAATTACCACCATCTCCCATCCTCCTACCCCCACAGTCCCAACACAAAAACTTGATTTGCTTGTCCATTCTTGGGCGAATTAAACAATTGGCTTTAACTTTTCTCCCAGGTCCTCACTTAAACTGCATGGCTCTGGCTTACACTATTATTGTCTATAGTTGAAAAAAGAATTGTTCAAACTCTCTTGCTCTTGATAAGAATCTTACTAGACCTGATTTATTCCCGGTGGAGGAAAACACTTAACAAGGTGTCCCCTGTTTTCAATGAGGGCAGAAAGCAAAGTGGCTCTGCCCCAATTGTGTTAATTGAACAACCTTTCCTACCAGGGCTGAGTAATACAGAAGAGAATTGAGAATTAGTTTAGTTTTTGCCACCCCCTTCCATCTACCCTTAGAAGAAAGGGGAGCATAAAATTCAAGGTCAGTTCAGTAGCCATTGCATATATGCATATAAAAGGGGGGAAATGTACCCTTTAAAACCTAAAAACTCATTTCTGTTTCTTAATGAAGTGAAGCAAAAATGACTGACGGCAGCCAAAACCTTCTCACTGATCACACCTTACGTGGAATCAAGAATGTGCCCTTTGTTAGTCTGGAATAATTCAGAACAGAATGCCCAATTGAATGGCCTCGAGTGAAAATGATCCCATGAAAAGAAAAAAATCATCACCTTCCTTTCAGTACCACCCAGAATGTGAGGTCAGACTCCCAAGGGATCCACTTGCCAGATAAGCCACTAAGTTGGAAGGTGGATGCCCGTTTCAGCCTGATGGTGGAAACTACCTGTCCTTTGTGAATTAGCATCTTCTGCTGCGGGGTTTCAAAATGAAGTTCTGTAATACACTTTTCAGTGCTGAAAATTTAGCAAGAAAGCAATGGTCCTTCCCTGTGGAATGGCTTCCTGGGCTTAAACACTAACCTTGGTAGGGGAGGCATGCTTAGTAGCTAGGTTAGATGCTTTGTTTCACCAGAAAAGAATCAAATCACCTAAATAAAGCTGGGGGCAGGGGTTTGGGGGCAAGGGAAGGGTAGGATGAAGATGATTAGAATGTTTACAGTTTACATTAGGGCATTAACGTATGTGAATTGAAACAAAAGTCGAATGTAATAAAAAATACCTCGTAACAAGATTTATTCTGATATATTCTATTTAGGGGATGAGACCACGGTGATGGAGCATGTGACCCCCTAGTAACCATGTCGGGTCTCACCCAAGGCACCAGATCACAATGGTGCACCATGAACAGTCACGAGAGGAGTTCCAAATTGCTGTAACTAATGAAGCCTGAAACTTCACATGGGACTTACATTAAAAATAAAGTTAGTTGTTTGAAAGCAATCTACACCAGCATCACTCTCACTTGTCCAAATTTCTGTTTTCTGGGGTGGCACGGAAAGGGTGGAGTTACAGGTACACAGCAGAGACGTACGATTACTGAGAATCACCTAGAATTTTTGTTCTACGTATGGAAGTAGGCCTTCCAAGGAACCATGCAGGAAAACATTATGAACTACTGACCCGGGAGCCTCAGAATGAAGTGTTAATCTGTAGCAACCCCCCTATTGTAGAAAGACCCTAGAGAGAAGAGTCGGGGTGGGTTATTGTTTTATTCCTGCAGAGGACTGACTGTCTGCTCACATATCCCTCCAGGACGAATTCCTAGAAGGAAGCAAGTCACCGCAAGGACAGCTTTTACAGGTGCGTGTGGCACCATTCCGCTCCATTGCCCACCCCTACCCAAGTCCTCAGATAAATAAAATAATTATTTGATTCACCCTAGAGCTAAAATTAGTCTCCTCTTGGGTAGCAACAGCCAGACTCCCCCTCCATTTAACTTCTAACAGCAGTTACAGGTCCTTTTGTCTTCATCAAAAAACTAAAGTCACTCTAGGAAAAAAAAACAGGCATATCTGAGAGTAGGAGAAACTGTAGCCCAAAGGCAAGCTCAAATCCCACCTGCCCCTGAGCCAGGAGCCAGGAGTCAAAGGAAACTAGTGATCAAAACCAAGAAGGCCTGTCTCCAGCTCTCCATCTGACTGCTCCTTATTAAATATTCACGCCAGGGGAGACCCAGTCCTGCTCTTTCCTTCAGTATTGCCCAGTGGTGCCGAGATGAAGTGTGAGCCACTGATAAAAAACACAACCGAAGAATAAATTCTTAACACCCAAGGGCAGGACACCAAAGGGCCTCAGGCAACCAAAAGGGAGAAAAAAAGAAGTCAACTGTACAATAAAGAACTCCTGACAGTTTTTGAACTCTTTATAAATTAAGAATAAATAAATCCCACAGGACATTGAGAATTTCTTCTTCTCCAGAGTCTCCATTGGGGGGTTACCCTAGAACAGGAAAGATTACCCAGCACTCTGGGGAGACCTAAACAGCTTCTGTAGAAGGGACGAGGGTATTTCTAGCACAAGCCCGGGCTGCTAAGAGCGTGGATTTCTGTTGGCCAACTGAGTTGAGGCCCCTGTGAAAACTGGCCAGGAAACAGGACTGCTGTCTTGACCTAACAGTATGCAATAAGACTGACACACTGATGAAACCGTGCCACCAGGCTGTACGCGTCTGTGAGTGTGACCTACAACCATGGTTACTGCACAAAGCTGGGGCTGGCCTTTCTTACTGCCAACAGGAACATCAAAAATGTCACGTGAACCCATTAATTTTTTAAAGTGACGAATTGATTTAAAAACTGACAGGCTCCATTCAGCTCACAAAACACTTCATTTTTAAGCAAGAAAGCAGCTGGATGAGCTTTGGTTTGAGCCCACACTCAGCAATTTAAAGAGACAGGAGTGAATGTGGTGCTTGGAACTCCTGAAGGCTTTCTGGGGTGGGATATAACAGACTATCAAAGTTGAGTCAGGAGTCTGTCCCTTGGGGGACAGACAATGAGAGAAATGACCCCCTCCAGGCCTCCACTAGCTGCTCTGTTCATGGTGGGAACTTGAACACAAAAGTTTCTATATTTAGCATCAAATGGTCATACCTGAGAGGCCCAGGAGGAGTGAGAGAAGCGCAAGTCCATCGGGGTGAAATGGTTCTCCCAACATACCCTTTTATTAAGACGCAAGCAGCAAGATTTTGCCCAGACTCAGGCCTCCACGCTTCATTTACACGTGAAACCAGAGTCTCAGTTTTTAAACAGTAAATCTTGAAGTCGGTAGATAAGATAAAACAAGGCTTTAAGAAATACACTACCAACAACAAAATCAGCTCTGCCCAAGAACTTTGTGTGTTTCCAGGTGGTAACTAGAAGCTATCATATTAAAAGCTAAGAATCATTTAATTTCTTAGCACCAAATAATAAGGCCTTGGGTATTAAAAGTAGTTGGAGAAGGAAGATACCAGACTTAAAAGTGTTCTCGAAATAACCAAAGCTAACCTCCTAAAACGTTGAGACATATTTTACCCCCTTTTTTTATTTTTCGTAAAGAAATGTCTCAGATACATTCCACACTCCTTGGGGCTATTAAACAGACTTTGTGTAATAAAATGATACTCTTCCTGACAGCAAGATAAATATTACAAACACTGCAACAACGGAAGTATGCAAATTACTTGCCTCCCTGAAACTATACATGTAAAATTTCTGTGCATGTGAGTTTATGTGTTTTATTGGGGAAAGGCCCTGTCTAAATTCTCACAGGGACCCAAGAAAGGGCCTGAAACCAACTGACCCAAGAGGGGAAGTAGCCTCTGCTCAGACCGCTGGGCAGCGTTCTCCTTCTTGCTTCTCACAGCCTTCACAGTTTTCAGTTGTCACTTCTCTACTCTTATACCATTTCTGTGGTTTCTCTCTCTTCTCTAGCTACTTTTCTTCCTCTCTTCTGGTTCACCTTTTTGACACTGCCCCTTCACTTCTGGGGTGAGAACAGGTATCGCTTGTTTTTTACAAATGGTGCAGCTTCTGATTGGCAGACGAGTCATGCGTGTTCTAAATTGCAGTACCTGTGGCTGGTTTCATTTCTGCTCAGTACTTGGGCTCTTCTGTTACCTTTGGGTTTATGGATGGGTAGTCTGCAAAGTTCAGGATGCTAGATTCCTGCCAATTGTAGTAAACTGAACATTCACATACATACACTAACACACGCGTGCATGAGCGCATATGCCCCTCATCAAGCCACAATCTATAGACTACTTTCAGAAAGTTGAGGCACTTTGTCTCTTTTCCAGTTTATATTAGTATTGGAAACACTTGCAGCCCCAGACTGAGCTGGGTGTGCAAGAAATATTTAGAGCTTGCGCAGCACGGCATTTTCAAGCATGTTCTATAAATGGCATGCTGGTAAATGAGCCATAAAGAAAGAATCAAGAAAATGTTACTGCTTCTCCTTCACTGGTACGTTATGGCAACATGTAAGACGAAAACCAGGGAGATGAGGGAGGCAGGCGAATCTAACTGTTGGGGAGCGAGATGTGCCCAGGTGCCACGGAACCAGGAAGAAGAGCCACAGCACTGCTGGGTGCTGTGACAAGAACCAAATTTGAAAAATGTGTTACCTCTCCCCCACAAAAGATAAGATGCCGGGTCTCAAAGCGCCTAACACATTGCTTCCACTTCCTACCAGTCACGGATGCCGTTTTATAGTTTGGGGTTGGGGTTGGTCAGCTTTTTACACAACTAAAAATGACAGGGCCATGGAGGAGAGATCTATTTCCACAAACAGTTAACAGTGGCAGACACCAGATAATCTAAAAACAACTGAATCCAAAAATGTATAAATACAAAGCATGCACAGAAATGTCAACTCTCCCAAAGTTGAAAGAGATGAAAACATTCAAACAATAGAAAAGTTAGCCTTCTTTATCCAAAAGGCAACTAACAAAACGAGCAGAGACCTCGTAACTGAGAAAGCCATACACTCCTTCAGGTGTCTTGTCACTGCACCATGGTGATGTAGGTGTCCCGTGGTCCACACGGATGCACCTGTCTGATTCCTTACCTCACTGCAGTCACCGGCTGGGATGTGTGAAGGCCTTGCTTCTTCTCCTTCTAGGGGCTCAATCACTGTCACCTCTGCAAACTCCTCCACAGATTGTTGAAACTCCGGTAAGGATCTTCGTCCATATCGTTTCCCACCTCTGACATATTTGGGCTGAGCTTCTAGTGGGCAGTCTGGGCAAGGAGACAAGAGTTGAGGCCACATTACATGACAATCTCAGGCCTTAGCTGATGCTCACAGCCGTCAGATGCAGCCTCTTATACCAGCCCCAAAATAAACCAGCACCATCTGCCAGTTGTGGTAGACGTGGGCGTGTGTGAGCCACCAGTTCAGATGCAGAGCACGGCTTCTAATTCTGAATGATTTTGCCGCACCCGAATATACCTCTGCATATGATGATGCAGTGCTGGCAGGGAGGGATTTGACTTAAACGTACAGAATGAAGATAAGGACAAAGAAGGGGGCATACTGGTTCTGTTTATTAAGCTGGTGTTTTGCAGGAAAGGGAGAGGGAGCGATCATACTAACAAAGAGGCACGTTGAAGGAAGTCTTGGAAAATCATGATAAAACAAACACTGTAGCAACACTGTAAAGTTAGTATTCACACCAATTAGTCTGAAACATACCCCTCTTGTACGTCAGAGGCTCCTTTGTTAAGCATCCCACTTTCTGAGCTATAAGACAAACAGGATGACGGAACAAAGAAACTGTCACAATGGATCTGAATCAATTAATGACAGTTCATCGCTTATATGAAACCTGACCTCAAGAGCTCATTATAAAATTAAAAGCTGTGGAATTAAATAGTAAACATGAAACTGCATTAAGAAAAATGGTGTATGTTTTTCTTCTTCTTCTTCAAGAGCTTCAGTGTCGTACAAAATAAAAAGTATTGTGTATAAGGAGAGAGCCATCTCTTGACCTTAAGGAAGGACTTCAGCATTCTGACATAACGTGCCACAGGTTCAGCATCCGCCGCCACCGCCGCCACCGCCGCCACCACCACCGCCGCTGCCATCACCACCGCCACCGCCACCACTCCTACAAACTAACATTTCTCTACAAACGAGTGCTTTAAAGCAATAAAATAAATACTTCACTCCATGCAAATATCATCTTAGATACAGGCTGGCTGTTTTATTTGTTGTTGTTGTTGTTGTTGTTTTGGCAACTTGTACAGAATTAGGAGAATAAAATACTCCATTACATACAAAAGGCTAGCAATGCTTTGATTCTTATCATCCGCACCGACATGGTGTCTCTCTGGAGAACATAATATGTGTTCTGTCTGAACATGACAGCCCTAACAAGGTATGCCTGAATTCAGGCATGTAGACTTGTAGATGCAGTATGTACACATACCAACAAAATGAAGATGGTTGTTGATTAGATAAGAACTAAAAGAATAAAACCTTTTCTTTATCATCACTGGAACTGGGTCAGGGGTCCGCCATTACTCGGTAGTTTCCCTGGAAGTACTAGCTCTGCTCCCTCCCCCACTGCCCATCCTCTGGCATGAGCTCCGATTTCACAGATGTGGTCAGAAGCATCCTGAACATGCTCAGCAAAGCTCAGAGTGAAGTACTTATGTTTGCTCTATAATTTCTAGCGATATTTATATCCAGCTTTATAAAAGTCCCAGCCAAGTCACTGTATTAGGTCGAGCGATTCTCTTACAGGAAGTATTAAGGCATACAAAATTTATATTGAAAATCACATGCATATTTGAAGGTACCTTTTATCAGAAGAGAGTGTGTCAGCTTGTGAGTATTCAGGATCGGCCCGGACACCCGAGCTGCATGTTGGCAGCTGACACCCACAGATGCTAGTCAGATAAGAGGCAATGCAGAACCATCCTTAATTTATGACATACTCTTAAGTTGTACTGGCAGACAACAAGATACACCATTAATGATGATGGGGGCTTATAAAAGAGGAAGAGGAAAACTTATAACGTCAGAAAATGGAACATGGGATTGTCCCAGTGTGAGAACAGTCTCGGGGCGGGAATTTCATCTGGGGACAGAAACAGCAGATGTGCGCTGAATGCGTGCTGCACTTTTTCTGAAGGAAAACCGTGTGGGACAAAGGAACTTTTTTTTGGTTTTGTTTTAAACCCACTGGAATTAATCCAAAGCCCACCTGTGGAAGAAATGGTTCCTTAGCTATTTACCACTCAATACCCCATGCCGTGCAGGGAGCAGCAGTAGATATGCAAGAGCTCTTTTCCTAAGCAATGCAAGGTAATAGATTGTGATCCACTAGGAACTGTGAGGGGTTTGGGTCAATTTATTCACTTACCTAACTTTTGCACTGTCAGGAACTTGAACATTTTTTTAAATTTATTTTATTATTATAACTAATTTTGAGCAAAGTTTAACACTTTTTTTCCCACAGAATGTACATATATCGCAAAGTTAGTTTTCAGAGAAACTTATCAAACTGTATCATCTTTTTGGAATAAAGATATTAACATACATAAAGGATAAATGGGGTATTAAGTTTTCCTCATACCAAGTTTCCCAAATTATCCATGTGACCAATAAAGACTTAGATTAATCACACCAATTAAAAAGTTACTTCTTAGAATTAGACACTCATCTATCCCTCCCCTATTTAGAGCATCAGCCTTGTTACATGATGAGGGGACAAATGGCAAAAGGAGGCCCAGAGAGAACATTGTCAACAGCCATTGATTGCTGTGTTAAGTACCTGCACCTTTATTATTCTCCTTATCAATCTCAGACCTGTAGGAGTCCGCAGCAGCAGCCCACCGAGCAGGAGGCCTCAGTGGGGATTTTAAGACTCTTTAAGGAATGCCTTAGCCCTTTCCTTACCATGCCCAATGAAAACTTGTAAAACCAGCCTTGGGGCAAAGTTTATTTGCTTTATGAGTGCATCCAGATGTAACTTACATAGTTCAAGGTTTCCTAGTGGAACAATTTTATCTATGGATCATTTGATTTAATAATAAAATAATTCACACCTATAGCTTCCTTTAACGTAAGTGTTAAGTAACTGCTCCAATCACGAGCTCCAAGGAGAGATGGGAAATGTCAGTGAAACAAATAAATTATAAAGGAGTGTGGTGCTTTTGGTGTTTTATTTCCTTGAACATATATTTATAATTCTGCCTGGACTGTCAAGCTTCTAGGTCATTTTCCCTACTTTCCCTTTTTCCATTTCTCCTATTTGTCATCACTACATACAAATAACAGTGGGCTGTTATTTCAAGGAAAGCAGACAAGCCCAGACTGCCTAGAGGAGTCTTGGATGCCACCCTGGAGAGCTTATTATGAGACACACCAACCAAGCAAGGTGACTTGAGGCAGTCCTTCCTGACCTAGTTTGGATGATCTGGGCTCTTTTCCGTAAACCAAACACTTGGTTTGATTCAATTTCCTAGACTGCAGGTATAACATGGAGACTACCGACAGTCTCCACAGAGAAGGTGGGGGGAAAAATCTATTTAGAGTTCAAAAGACAAAAAATAAAACAAAAAAACCCTTCCTTCTGGTCTTAGAAATTATACAAAATCTGGATCCTCAGACATCACATTCTTAAAAAAAAAAAAATAACATTTTTGATTTTAGAGAGAGGAAGGGAAGAAGAAAGAGAGGTTTGATGTGAGAGAGAAACACCGACCGGCTGCCCACCCTCCCCCAATGCACGCAGACCTGACAAGCCCAAAAAACCCAGGCTTGTGCCCTGACCAAACTGGTGACCTTTCCCTTTGCGGCAGGACAGCCAACCAACTGAGCCACCCCGGCTGGGACAGACGCCACATTCTTTACTCCCTATCTCATCTGTCCCAAGGAGAAGAACTTCAGACCTGTGATAAAGATGTTCACCTTCCAGAATCAGGATAAACCACCATGCACATGCATGACTTTTGATCACACAGTCTTGCACTTACAATAAAAGAAAAATTGAAATACAGCGTCAGTGAGAATAAGCCGGGGATAAGCCCGCCGCAGGCAGGGAAAGCAACCGACATTCACGCACCCCCATCCCTCCCCACGCCCCCCGCCCCGCTCCCTCAGCCACAGGGTGATGAGCTCTCCTGACAGCCAAGGGCAAAGCAATGAGGACCCAAGAGAAGGCTGAAAGAGTTGCTGGAAAGCCTAAATGCTATTTATTCAGTCAAGGCTCTCTTTGCGGAAACACAAACTTAAGACCTGGAGTGCAGCAGCATCCACATATATGGAAAGTTAAAGAGGAGTTTCAAAGATGCATCCCAGCATTAGTCAAATCACTTAACTCATATTTATTGAACACCGGCCATGGCAAAGCATTATGGTATACCTATCCAGGGATAAGATGAATATTTCATCATTTTTTTAATACAATTTCCCTGTTCCTAAGAATGCCCTGAGGATATTTCCAAGATGAAGAGGGCAGCCCTGCCTTTGTGGTGCTGATAATCTTATTTTGGAATTGCTCGGGCAGAGCCTTGCTCTCTGCTTGCCCTCCTGCCCTGTGTAGTCAGCTGGGGAAACCATTCCCAGGACTGCACCTCCTTGCAAAGGACCTCGGCACGGGGGTACTGCCAGCCTGAGGCTCTCCACAGTACATTTCTGCCGAGCTTCCAGGAGTTCTGAAGTCTATCTCCAAAAAAAGAAGGCAAATAGGAGGCACAGACAAAGCTCAGGACAAGCACCCCAGAAGCTTCCCTGGGAAAAGGCAGTCGTGCAGCAAGGGAGCACCCCCAGGCCCACTGCACACCCCCACCTCCTCGCCTACTCTGACCACACGATTGCACAGGCATCACACAGTGAGAGTGCCATCCCACACTTGATTCTCCAGAGAGAAAAGGGGAGAGAAAGCATCAATGGGGAGACCAAGACAGAGGGAAAGATTGACAGACAGACATACAGAGACAGGCAGGCAGAGAGAAAGACACAGAGAGACAGACTGAGACCGAGAGAGAGAAGGAGGGTGGTGACAGAAGATGGCCAGGGACCCAGAAGCCTATGGAGGGCAGGGGGGAGGAAGATGAGGGGCAACGGATGGGGAGGGACCAAGAGTTTAAGAAAGAGTGGGGGGAGGGGCAGGGAGGAGAGGAGGGTAGAGGTGAGAGGGAGTGGTGAAAAGAAGAAAGAAGTGAGAAGGGTCTGTCCCAAGGACGGGAGAGGAGAAGAGAGGCCAAGAGAGAATGAACAATATAAAAGG